TTAGGAACATAGGAACAAGAATATGCCATTCAACCCATCGAGCCTGCTCTACCATTTTCTGAGATCATGGCTAATCTGTAACTCAATTATGGTTCAGTTGGTAGCATTCTTGTCTCTGAGTCAGAAGGTTGTGGGTTGAAACTCCACATTGGGACTTTGAACTCACTCCAATGCAGTGTGTCCAGGGGTGATCTGCATGTTAGGGGCTGTCCTTCGGATGAGATATTTAAACCAAGGTGCCATCCACCTGTTCAAATGGACATTAAAGATCTCTTTTCACAGTAAAATCTAACAAAGCGTTTTGAGACATTGCAACAACATGATAAAGTTTTATATCAAATGCAAGAATTATTATTATTTGTTTGGCTTTTATCCTTACCCCTGATTCCCTTTTTACTCCCCTATTTTATCTACTTCCCTCTTAAATGCTCCCACTGACTCTGCATTAACAGTACTTTGAGGTAGTGAATCCCAAACTACCCAAACTCTTTTGAGTAAAGAAATATCTTCTAACTTGATTACAGATAGATCTAGCTCTAATAGATCTAGATTACGTCCTCTTGCACTGGATTCTGTAACCATAAGATCCCCCATTTATTCATTTTTTCAATTCCCTTGATTATTTTAAATACCTCATTCAGATCACCCCTCAACTTCTTCTGTTCAAAGGAATACAACCCCAGTATAACATTCTGCCCTAATGACTAAGACACTTCAGTCCAGGTATCATTCTAGTGAATTTGCCGTGTAAAGTCTCCAAGGCTTGGTGCTCAAAACTGCACATAGGTCTGAACAGGGCATTAATCAAGTGTAACATCACTTCCTTTGTTTTATATTCCAACCCACTTATGATAAAGGCCAACAACAACACTGTTGATTTATAATGTCAGAAGGAGGGATCCTTTTCTTCTTTTCTGTAATCTTCCCTTCTCTGTCTGTATTCGTTTTGCTTAATACTAGCTCTCACCATAGTTGTTAACCATAGCTGTCTTCCCTCAAAACCAGCACTTTTGCCTTTCACTGGTACGGGATGTCAGTCTTTTGTAAACACATCTATTTCTTGTTGGAATATTTACTACTGCTTGTAAGATAATTTACCAACAAGCTTTTCTCTCAGTTAATGGTCCTCAATTCATCCCTTAACCTTGAAGGTTTGCCTTGTTAAAGTATAAGACCTTGGTCTGAGTCCCTTTTAGCCTAATGTTAAATTCTATTGTTATGATAAATATAAATATAACCAAGATATTTCCGAACCACCAGATTATTCTCTAAATCTGTTTCATTGCTCAATTAAATATAGCCTTTTTTCTTGTTCTTCTAACACATACTGCTTGAGGAAGCTATCATGTTCACATTTTAGAAATGCACTATCGTTGCTACTTAAACCCTTCTGTTTTACCAGTCCAAACGCACATTAAAATCTTTCATTACTACCTAATTATTTTCAATACTAGCATCCCTTATCTCCCTGTACATACATTCCTCCAGTTGGTCATCACTTCTAGATACAGCTAAGCCCAATCAGTATTTTACATCCTTTTCTATTTTTCAGTTCCACCCATAGTGATTCCACCTCCTGACTGCGATCGCTGAAATAGTCAGGGGATCCCTTTTCTACTGTCATTGGTGTCTCTTTCAGTAATGTTAATACTCTTCCTTCCCCACTTAATCTGTATTTTCTAATAACACATAGACTGAGATATTTAGCTATCCTATACCCCAGAATTTGTAAAATTTCCATAATTGCTACCATATAATTCTTCTGATTTTCTGCCCTGTTTTTATATATTTTTTATCTTTCTTTCCCCACCCCACTTTAGGTCAGTTTTATTTCATTCCCCCACCTGAATGATCAACTGCAGACCTGTTTTTCCCAGCCACTGATGACAATGGATCGTGAATAGTGGTGGATGGTCAGAGGCGATAGTGGACTTTTTTTGGTCAACCAGATGTCTGACACAGGCAGAAATGCAAGCTATGCTTAAGCGTAGCTAAACCACATTCAGAGTTCTACACATATATGCCACCTATACATGTAAATTTCCTTTAGTATTGAACAGAACATTTAATCTCTCAGGAAGGATGCTCCTTACCTAATTCTGGAGAATATTAAGCACGGGCTCATGAAGAGCTAAGGGTTTGGGATGCCGGAGTGTGCAATGAGGTACTGCTGAAGGTTACCAGCTAAAGCTGCATAGCTTGCTGTTGAGAGCACTATCTCACATGTTTTGAAACTGGGTAGTAAGACCTCACATTAGGGCTTTGGTTGCAGGGTTAACAAGAGCTGGCAGTATATTGTCAAGTGGACTGATGATGGATAGTTGTAGGCAGTGACCTACACCATCTCCTCCAACCATCCATTATCCCGACAATTGATAGTCGCAGCAAAGGGGTGATGTCAGGGTAATAACTGATTGGAGATAATGGTACATTGTCGGGGAAGGAAGAAAATGGCTTAGGATTGTCAGGGATGGCAGTGGATTGGAGAGATCTGGGCTTTAGACTGTATCAGTGTTCTGTTGGACACAGGTAATCTTATACAAGTATTGAATCTAATGTTGTTGGAAAGCATTAGTCAAAAGGAGAATGGAGTTTCCCATGACCAGTGTATGGGACAGATTTCTGGCTCTGAAATAATTGTAAGGCCTAGGGAAAACCCATCTACGCAACATTCATTGATTTCTGTAACGCTTTCAAACAAGTGAGACCTTATGAAACCCTCATGATGAAACTGGAAACTATGGGATACATGACCAAATGTTGGATTTTATTCAGAATGGGTATTCCAGCTCCAAGAACTGTATAATTGTTGATGAAAGGCTCACTCAGCCTATCCCTCTTGAAAAGGGGTGTGTACTTTCATCCAGTTTTTTTCTTATTCAATGTATGCATGAATGATGTATTGGATTGCATTGGGGAGATGGACTTGGTGTATGTGTTCCACACATTTTTGACAGAAGTGCAGTGTTTCCTGTTTACAGTTGATATTGTGCTGTTGGAGGACTCACCTGGGGATTCCAGGCAATTACCATCATGAACACTAGGACACTCAATGGGATGGTTGGTACCCTCTAGTATATGGTTCAAGAAGATATTGTAAAGGTATTAATTGGAAGATACAAGGGCATCTATCTTGATTATTGATTCTTATCAGTGTCTGGGGGTGGACATGAACTTCTGAGAAGGACTGAAGGGCACTCTGATCATTTTCATTTCTTCAAGGGCAGCAATATCCCAATTAGGGTAAGTTTGTAGCATATAAGACATGTGTCCAAACAGTTCTTTTTGATGGTTCCAAGCTTGTGGGCATGCAGGGAAGGGTTTTCCTTCAGCCTATTGTAGTCCAAGTCAAAGCAGTAAGATGGATTAGTCGTGAAAAGGCCTACACTGCCCAGAGTATGTGTTGGGGGAACTGCTGTAGTTTCAGCAGCTAAAAACATATAGCTTGCCATTGCTCTGGCAAACTTCCCGCTACTTGTCCAGGTTGGACCATTCTATCTGATCGCTTTGCGGTCTTTTGACTAGGATCAAGTGTAGTATCTGTTCTTATCAATTATTCCTTGGGCTGTTCACTTGGCAGTGCTCTCCCTTTGAGATTTGAATGGTATAGGTAGAGTTAAACATGACTTATTCATGGAGGACAGAGCTTACTGCCCTTGGACCTCTGTTAGCTGGGATTGGGATGTCAAAGTGTCCTGATCTGAGGGTTTGATCTGACCCACAAAAAGCAGAGAAACTGGAATAGAGTTCTACCTCGATCTCTTGGTCAGCAGGCTCACACCATGAGCTTGCCCGAGTTGGAGTGGTGATCCGGCTACTTCAATTGCTTGAGTGGTCGTGAGCAAGGAATTAGGTCCACGTCACCTTTTGACAATTTGGAACCTAGGAAACAATCTTATTCCCATTTGAGGAACATGATTCTATTTAAGTTTTAGTGGGGCAAAACCTCCAATAAAAAAGCTAGGACCACATTACCCCAAGGGCTTTAGCCTATTAGCTGGAGTTAGATTAGAAGATCAGCCATGATTGAATGGTGGGGCAGGCTCGAAGGGCCGAATGGCCTACTCCTACATGTTATAGGAGTTGAGTCGGAATAATCCTTACTTCCAGTTACTGGTTTGCAACCTGCTTAGTTGCACGGTGCAAGGGGACCAAGGAAAACCTGCTTACCTCCCCACCAGGAGATTGTTTGTATTGAATATCTGGTGCCCTCCTGAAAGGTGGGTGCATTTAGATCATTGGTGACCAACCTATCGCTCCCGGGCTGGATGTAGCCTGTGGGGCCTTCAAGAAACGCTCCCCCCCACGCCCTGCACAAGTCTAGGAAAGTCTGTGTTCGATCAGTAGTGTGTTTTCAGGTTTTTTCAAATTGAATATTTCTTGATTTCTGGCAATCAAGGAATATTCAATGAAAAAAATAATTTTGTTGGCCGATCATAAAAGATTGACCACCACTGTTTAAAGATGTTGGGACCCCCTTGACCATATAGTGGTCAATGGATGCACATTGTGGGAGCTCACAGTGGAACACTGGCCATTTGGGGTGAGCTATGGGGGGGTACTGTACCCCAGTGGAAAGGAGTCAATTTGTTCCAGGAAAAGGAGGGGAAAAAAATTGCCCAAGTCCAAATGGACCAAATAAATGGTTTGGGATCCTCACCCCTCTCGGCATTGTTCTGTTTAAAAAGAAAAAAAACCCAAAAGTTTTAACATTTTACCAGAAGCAGAAATGGTGAAATGTTCCTCACTTACAACTGTGACAACCCTAACAGCTTCTTATTCCTCCTCCCACCCCACACCCCACCTGTCCACCGCCCCCCCTCCCCACCCCACCCCACCCCGGGGCGCCTCAGGAGAGCGCAACACCTGAGTGGCCATGTGGAAGCTGTGGAATCTGTCTGCCCGTCAGTTAGTAACAGCGGCTCATAAACAAGAGGCTTTTGACCGCCCCCCTGACAGCGAGAGAGAGTGAAGGAAGGACACTTACCAGGAGGAGGGGAGGGAGGGAAGGAAGGGATAGAGAGAGAGAGAGAGAGTGTGAGGTGACGGACGAGGCGGCGGCCATGAAGCTGCAGGCGGTGATGGAGAACCTGCAGAGGCAGCAGCGCGCGCGCCTGGAGCTCGAGGCGCGCCAGCAGCACGAGATGGAGCAGCGCGAGGGCCGGAGCGCGGGCGGCGCGGAGCCAACGGCCGGTCAGCAACTGCCAGGCGCGCGGCGGCAGCAGCAGCAGCAGCGGCAGCACGAGCAGCGCCTGATCGCGGCGCAGCAAACCGCAGCGCTGGCAGCCATGAGAGCGGCGGCGGCCGCAGCCGGAGCGGGGCTGACCCGACGAGGCGACCGGGAGCTGGGCATGGAACCCGACGGCAGCCCGAGGCTTTCCGAGAGCAGCGAGGCCCTGTCGGAGGAAGACGAGGCGGCGGAGGAGGAGGAGGAGATGGAAGGCGACGAGGAAGAGCATTTCCCCGACCCCATGGGGTCTGAGGAGGACATGGCGGCGGCCGAGGAGGAGGAACAAGAAGAGGAGGATTTTGAGGACGAGATGGCGGAGGAAGCGGTCAGTCGAGTGAAGGAGGAACCCGGGGTGCAGCGCAGCGACCAGGCGCCGCGGCTACCGGGCCAGCGGCGCCCCCTGGGCGGGCTCGCCTACCCGCCACACCCGCAGCTCCCGCAGCCCCAGGATCAGACCGAGTGGACGTACGAGGAGCAATTCAAACAGGTATTTCCAATAATAAATAATCCTGTTTATATGCGAACATTAATGAAAATAATGGGGGGTACATTTATTAGGTGTTTGTGTTTTCTGTCCCTTTGTAAAGTTATTGTTTCCCTCCCCCCCCTCCCCCCCCCCACACCCCCCGCGCGTCAACAAAAGAGCTCGAGGATCGCTTGCGGTGAAATTACAAACGATCCTGTTGGTTTGTAAAAAAAAATTAAAAAACAAAATCGTAGAGAGGTGTAACAGGGAAAGGGACCGGTGTTAGCAATTGCCTTATTTTCACGGTACACGGATTGTGTTTGCGCTGTATCTCACACACACACACACACTCACACCCAACGTGCAACCCCTGGGTGCCATTCAGTTAATAAATGCTGGACGGTAACCTTTTCCTTGTCCCCCTCCCTCTCTACCCTCTCTCTCCCCCCCCCTTACTTGTTCGTATGAAAGGTGTTCAGTAGATTAATCCCTACAACAGATTAGGTTTGCAGTTTTTTTAAAAAAAACTTTTGTACTAAAACTTTTATTACAAAATGTCTCTCTTGGCGCACACGAATATGCGCTTCTAATACAGTAAAAGTTCCCCCCCCAACCCCCCCCTGTAACCCTGTCGAATGTTGTCGGTCTTACTTTGATAACTAGTACTTAAAATAAATTACTCGAATTTTGAAATTTACAAGACCTGAACTTTTCTCCCTGTTCCAGGTTTGTATTTGATAAGCACGTGTTTTTTTTGTGTTTGAAACTCCTAACAACAATGTTTAATTCCTAACAACAATTTAAATTTTTTTAAAAAAAGCTTGTTAACGTGCAACAGTTATGAATGCTCTTTTACAGTAAAACTGCTGAAAGTCCACTAAAATTTATTTGAATAACTCATGTAAAGGAATAAAATCTCACAAATATTAAAACAAAAATGCACTCCATGAGATTTCAGAACCAGTACTTTCTTAGAAAAAGACTAAAAATTTAGCAATTTCTCCTGGAAAATCTCCAAATCATTTAATGGTTTACGTTTTTGGCAGCACTAAAGCAAATATTACTGAATAAATTTGTTAAGGTTTGGGAGATTATGTTAATAACTGTAGCAAGAATGTAAATACAAGATGGACTCTTGCCAAATATTCTGGACTGTCTGGACTGTGGTGTAGCTTGACATAATGAGTAAATATAATTGGAGGTTTTTTTTTCTCTCTCCTTTTTCTCCATCTCTTGTGACTTGTCCTAGCATATACTTCCATAAGTGTTGGGTTTCCATGTAATTCCCCTGACTGTGAATTTGTTATACAATTCGGAATGAGGGACTAAAGAAAAGGGAAGGAATGGATCAGAGTATAGTCTACTGTTCTGGGCTGTGTCCACATGCATGTACGAGCAAGGGATCAATGGATTGGGGATCAGGACTTGGAACCCTGGCTAATTTCTTTCCCTGAAACCTCCCCATCCCCATGGTGATTTAGTGGTGTCTGAACTCCTGCTGTAATTGAGATCAGCGAAAGGAATTTAACCTTCTGTATAACCATTGGGAAGCTGCAGTCCTTTTTTTAAAAAAAAGCCCTTTAAAAATATTTCTAAACAATTTCAGCAGTGATTCTTTGTATAGCATTTTAAATAAAATACTAAATATTAGAAATCTTAAAATATTCAAAAATATTGCTCCCCTGCTAGCTCTTTCTCAGCATTAAGCCATACATTGCAGAAGGTTTAAATCAATTATCAATTAGTTGATCTGAGTCTGCTTGTATGACTCAAATACAAGGATTATTATTATTATTGTACCTCACTCCACTGATTACCCCTTTGACCAGCAGGCACAAGTCTGCTGCATATATCCCGATCCCTTCATACCACCATCAGTGGCCATGCCTTCCGTAACTGTGCACCAAAACTCTGGACTCCCTGCCATTAACCCTCTGCCTCACCCTCTCTTTATCTTGAAGTCCCTTGGTGTGGCTCGCCTCTTCACTGCATCAATGGTCACACTCCCCCCCCCCCCCCCACTCCTCCTCCGAAGCCTCTCTCTATAAAATATATATATTATGTATATATGAAGCTGCATGGTCGCTATATACATGCAAGTCATTGTTGCAAATTGTGCATATGTGAAAAATTAGTTGTGATTCCTTTAACCCTTCTCACTCAAATAATCCGCTGACACTAACAATTTAGGTTCACACAACAAGAATATACCATAATATAATAATAGCCCTTGCATTTGATATAGCGCCATATCACGTCTCAAAGCGCTTCACACAATATATTGTAAAGTGAATTGACTGTATTTTGTGGGTGAAACACGGCAGCCAATTGCACACAGAAGTGACCCACTGGTGAGGAAGTACTGGATGGCTTGTAAGGTGGTGGATGTCAGCTGTGTAAATGGTGCCATACACCATGTGTTTAAGAATTAGGGACTTTTTTTAAAAAAACAAATCTTTTAGCTAGTCTGATTTACAGTGGTAAATTGTACAGAATGTTATATGTTGTACTTTTTAATAATATTTTGTATTTGTAATAATTGAAAATTGAGCTGTGGATAAAAAGCAGCGGTTTTATAATTGCATGTGTTGGTTTAGATTTTTATCACAATTCAATAGTTTTCTGTTAGAATAGATTAATGAAAATAAAATTCAGTTGTAGAATGTGTGTACTTCAGTACTCAGGCACTACGCAGCGTGAAGGGTGGGGTAACTTGATGTAAATGCAAGTTATTGTCGTACTGATTTAAATTTATACCAGCCAAGACTATGATTTTTTGGTTTAATGTGAGTGAATGACTAGAATATCTTTGCAACTGGGGGAGGGGTTGAACTGTTAATTGTGGCGCACTCCAGATGGCAAAATCGGTGCATTTTCTTGTAATTGGGGCCTAGACTGATCTGGAAACTGGTTGCCTGGCAGATGTAACAATTAAAAAAGCTGCATGGTAATGGTAACCGTATTATGGACAAATGCTACTTAATGCAAAGCAGATGGAAATTGATGTAGTAAGATATGAATTGATGTAATGTAGTAAAAGTTTCCTTACTCTACATGCTTGATAATAATCCCTCAAGACTGTGGAACTGCTGTGCGCAATTGGCTACTGCGTTTCGCCCACAAATATACAGTCAATTCACTTTACAATATATTCTGTGAAGCGCTTTGAGATGTCTAGAAGATGTGAAACGTGCTATACCAAATGCTGTTATTATATGATGGGAATGATTGGTTGCAGTGTTATTGCATAGCTATTTTCATAACTGCACAGAGTAGCCATGCATCTGGTGTCATTCCCTTTGGGAATATAGCTGTCTCTTGCATTCTGAAATCCAGAGCAGGGGTGATAGATACTGTGAAAATCTTGCCTTTGCAGTGGTACTCTGTGAGCTAGAGGAAGTAGAAGTATTTAATATGAAGCAATAGCAAACGGGCGAACAGAGAGGGACATAGAGCTCATAGATTTCTCTGAAGTAATCTCTTTGTGCTTAACAGTCCTTTTCCAGAGATGGGATGGAGGGTGGGTGAGCAAGCTGCACTTTAAAATAATCTATGGTGGTGCTGATCAACAAGGGTGTTGACTTCTTTCTGACCACTGAAGATTTCTTCAGCACACTTCCAAAATAAGCACGTTTATTTGTTCATCCCCTTCCTCCTTACCCTCCTATTGTCCAAATGAGTTTCTCTAACTGTATTTCTTTTTCTTTTATAACATAAAACAGAAATGTATATGGACCACACCTATTTTGACTGTTTTGACATTCACCATTTTTAGGCAGCAGTACACATTTAACAATTCCTTGGAGAATGATCAACTGTATATCATATTCTTGTATTGGGAAAAACATTGATAAATCAAATATCCTCAAAGGATCCATTAATATGGGTTGTTTTATTTATAATTGTTTGGCTACTTGCTCTCTATGGGGAAGGAGGAGCAAATTGTGTTTTCAACTTAAAAATAACTGGTAGTAAACCTTCAGTATCTAAATCTTAAAATATCAGATAACATTGAATGCAGCACTATTAGGTCATCTAGGGTCAGGGAGTGTCAGATATGATACTGTCATAAGCTTATATTGACTATGCACAGTCAGTAAATGGTAAATGGTCAAGCTGCAGGGGATGAGAAGTCCTGCTAAATGCTCAGAAGAATCTGTTTCTCATTAGAGATTCACATTAGCAAATACAAAGCTTGCTCTTTATTTTTAGCTTTATTGCAAATATTTTAATAAATAAATCTTTACGTTTGATACATTACTTTATTACATTGTCATAGTTTCAGGGCTTCATGATTTTATGGTAAAGAGCAGTGACTATGTATTTGGAGGCGAACGAGAATTGTCCACAAATGATTCTTTTTAACTGCTGAATTTTGCATTGTGGCTGTCGTAGTCAGCATTTGATGTGATCACTATCATGCATCAAACCATTATTTACTTTCTTGAAAGGCTCATTGTTTTTTGTGTTCATTTGTAAAAATATTGTAAATTGGTACGAGTATGTAAACCGGTTTGCGGTCACCTCAGTAATCTAGCCACCGCACAATTGCCGGCATATTTTCACTGTCTCTTTCATTGTCTATGTTAAAAGATAGCCTTCAGTAAACCGGGCACCTACCGCACCCTCTTTCACTTCAAACGTGATACACACACCCCCCTCCCGCTATGAACCTGTACACAGTGCGCTAGGCCTCAGACTTCTCAAGCTATTTCCTCGATGCTGCTACTGTGGGCGGAGTTGGCTCCAGACACGCATGTGTTGTGCGGGGAATGTTGGGATTGACGAAGCAGCGCGAGCGGAAAATCCACTTCGCCCAACGTCTCTGGTGCGGGAGAGGGACATGGGCTGCAGAGTTCTGGATGATCTGCAGCCTATAGAATAATAATAATAATAATAATCCTTGCATTTGATATAGCGCTTTTCACGTCGGGAGGACGTCCCAAAGCGCTTCACAGAATAGACTGTAAAGTGAATTGACTGTATATTTGTGGGCGAACGCGGCAGCCAATTGCGCACAG